AGATTTTATTTATTTATTTGACAGAGAGAGACACAGCGAGAGAGGGAACACAAGAAGGGGGAGTGGGAGAGGGAGAAGCTGGCCTCCCGCTGAGCAGGGAGCCCGATGTGGGGCTCCATCCCAGGACCCTGGGATCATGACCTGAGGCAAAGGCAGACGCATAATGACTGAGCCACCCAGGAGCCCCTGCATGCTTAGTTTTTTAAAGAAACTACCAAACTGTATTCCAGAATAGTTGTACTGTTTGACATTCCTGCCAACAATGAATGATCCAGTTTCTCCACAACCTTGACAGCATTTGATGTTACTAATATTTTTATTTTAGCCATCCTGATGGCTATGTAATGGTATTTCATTGTGATTTGCATTTCCCTAATGGCTAATGATGTTGAACATCTTTTCATGTGTTTATTCGCCATCTATATATCCTCTCTCGTGTAATGTCTGCTCATAAATTTGCCTATTTTCTAATCAGTTTTTTGCTTTTTTTTACTCTGGAGTTTTGAGATCTCCTTATATATTCTAGATAAAAGTCTTTTGTTGGATATGTGGTTTGCAAACATTTTCTCCCAGTCTATATTTGTCTTTTCATCCTCATTACAAGGTATATTTTTAATTTTTTAATTTTTTTACAAGGTCTATTTTTTTAATAAAGATTTTATTTATTTATTTTTAAAGATTTTATTTATTTATTTGACAGAGAAATAGAAAGCACAAGTAGGCAGAGAGGCAGGCAGAGGGAGAGGGAGAAGCAGACTCCCCACTGAGCAGGGAGCCTGACGTGGGGCTCGATCCCAGCACCCTGGGACCATGACCTGAGCCGAAGGCATCCCCTTAACCCACTGAGCCACCCAGGCACCCCTAAAGATTTTATTTATTTGAGAGAGAGAGAGAGAGAGAGAATGAGTCAGGGAAGGTGCGGAGAGACAAGCAGACTCCCTGCTGAGCAGGAAGCCTGAGGCAGGGCTTGATCCCAGGACCCTGAAATCATGACCTGAGCTGAAGGGAGACACTTAACCAACTGAGCCACCCAGGTGCCCCCTCATTACAAGGTCTTTTACAGAGCAAAGGTTTTTAATTTTGATAAGGACCAATTAACCAATTTTTCTTTTTGTAAATCATGCTCTTCATGTCAAGTCTAAGAACACTTTCCCTAGACCCTAAAGGTTTTCTACTATATTTTTCTCTAAAATCTTTTTTTGAAGATTTTTTTCTTTTTTGAAGAATGATTGACATACAATATTGTATTGGTTTCAGGTTTACAAGGTCAGTTGGTGGAACGTGCAACTCTTGATCTCAGGGTTGTGAGTTCGAGCCCCATATTGGGTGTAGAGATTATAACTAAATAAACTTTAGAAAAAAACTTTATAAAAAATGGTCACCACAGTAAGACCAGTTACCATCTGTCACCATACAAAGTTGTTATAATATTATTAAGTTCCCTATGTAATATATACATTACATCCCTGTATCTTGTTTATTTTATAACTGGAGGATTGAACCTCTTAATCCCCATCACCTATTTCACCCATTTCCCCAAACCCCTCCCCTCTGGCAACCACCAGTTTGTTCTCTGTATTTATGGGCCCAGCACGCTTCTGCTGCACTACTCTGCTTGTTCTCTGTATTTATGAGTCTGTTTCTGTTTTGTCTGTTCACTTGTTCTGTTTTTTTAAATTCTACATATAAGTGAAATCATATATATTTGTCTTTCTCTGTCTAGCTTATTCCACTTAGCATAATACCTTCTAGGTCCACCCATGTTATCACAAACGGCAAGATTTCATTCTTTTTTCTTTTCTTCTCTTTTTTGATTTTAATTTTTTGGGGGGAGAGAGCTCAAGCAGGGGGAGGAGCAGTGGAAGAGGGAGAGAGAGAATTCTAAGCAGACTCCAGGCCCAGCAGAGAGCCTGACATAGGACTCGATCTCAGGACCCTGAGATCATGACCTGAGCCAAAATCAAGAGTCGGACACTAACCAACTGAGCCACCCAGGCGCCCCTATATTTCATTCTTTTTTATAGCTGAATAATATTCTATCACATATATTACATCTTCTTTATCTATTCATCTACTTATGGACATTTAGGTGGCTTCCATACCTTGGCTATTATAAATAATGCTGGTATGAACATAGGGGTGCATATGTCTTCTGAGTTAGTGTTTTTGTTTTCTTTGGATAAATACCTAGTATGTAGATTGCTTTGGGTAGTATGGACGTTTTAACAATATGAACTTCCAATCAATGAGTACAGACTATCTTTCCATTTCTTTGTGTCATCTTCAATTTCTTTCATCAATATTTTATAGTTTTCAGAGTACTGGTCTTTTACTTCCTTGGTTAAATTTATTCCTACATATTTTATGCTTTTTGTGCTTTTTAAATTCTTTTTGATGCAATTTAAAATCTAAGTTTCACATTTTATACTTAAATTCATATTTTACAGGAACACAGCCATGCCCTTTCTTTGAATTATGGTCTATGTCTGCTTTTGTACTACAATGGCAGTGCTGCCTAGTTGTGACAGACTGTCTGATCCACAAAGTCTAAAGTATTTACTCTCTGGCCCTTGACAAAACATGTTGACTCTTGTTTCTGCCTACCAATGCTGAGACAACTATATGAAAACACCATGGCATAAAATATTTCTTTTTTTTTTTAAGATTTTATTTATTTATTTGAGAGAGAGAGAATGAGAGATAGCACGAGAGGGAAGAGGGTCAGAGGGAGAAGCAGACTCCCCACTGAGCGGGGAGCCCAATGCGGGACTCGATCCCAGGACTCCAGGATCATGACCTGAGCCGAAGGCAGTTGCTTAACCAACTGAGCCACCCAGGCGCCCTGGCATAAAATATTTCTAAGTTGTAATATCACTGTTTGGAACCAAATTATATGAAGGCAGCAGCATCCACCCACATACATTTATAACAAATCTATCTTGAGGAGTAAATGGCTTTCTTTTTTATTTTTAATATTTTTTAAATTTTTATTTATTTATTTGTCAGAGAAAGAGCACAAGCAGGGGGAGTGGCAGGCAGAGGGTGAAGCAGGCTCCGCGCTGAGCAAGGAGCCCAATGCGGGGCTCCATCCCAGGACTCTGGGATCACGACCCGAGCTGAAGGCAGGCACTTAACCGACTGAGCCTCCCAGGCGCCCAGGTGGCTTTCTTTTTGAAGCTGAAATTCCTACTAACACAACTCTAAGCATCGTTCCTGATCTATGCTCAGATTTCAGTTTGTATTCCTGAAGCATCAGAGACAAAGGTGTTTATAAGCAAGTATTTGTTATTTGGTAATAGAAATCCAACAAAGTTGAGAGAGAGAGTGTGTGTATGTGTATAATATATAACATATATACTCCTTGATGAAAGTCTTTGGCAAAATAAGCCATCTTCATTTTATGGCCTTTATTCCAAGAATTTACATTATGTGACTCAGAAACATATTAACACAACTCATTCCAAATGTACCCTCTGGCCTCAAACATGACACTAGTCAGAACTCAGCCAGGCGTGGTGCCAGATGGAGTTTAAAACTGCATATTGTCTTCTCATTCCAGTACTTGAGCTTGCTAAAATCAAAGGGTGGGATATGAGACTGTGCCAGTCATTAGATTATTGCATATCAGCTCTAAAACCACCCTTCTCAGAACTAAGAAACCAGCATGCCCAAGGAGAAAAAACTCCCGGCGTTAATGTCCGAAAGGGTGGTATTTCCAACATTTTGGAGGAACTGGTTGTCCAGCCTTTGTTGGTTTCAGTCAGTGCACTGACTCTAGCAACTGAAACTGTCTGGAGCATTCTGAAAATTGATGATGTGGTAAACACTGGGTAATCGGATAAACCCTGGCCAACTGGCACCACTGTGGCCACTGATAGTGCATTTGAAGTGGAAGATCACCGTGGTGTTCTTTGATGTTTGGAAGATTGTTTCCTTTGTGAATTCCTAGGCCTGGTCTTCAGTTGGCACTTGCTTGAAGTTGTATTGACAAAACTTAATTAAAATATTAAATGTTTGGTTTCAAAAAAAAAAAAAACAAAAACAAAACAACAAACCAGCCTTCCGGACTCTGTGAGGCTAGAATTCATTTCTGCTTTGCCAGCTGGCTTCCTGAGGTTTCCAATAGGATGTGTTAGGGGGATCCTGCAAGGCAGGACGGAGGAGAGACTTGATCCTGCATGCTGGCTATTTCTTCCAGCAGGATCCCCCGCCCCCCCCCACTGCCCCCCCACTGGCTGTAGCAGCTGCTTCCAGTCTCTGGCTTTGTCAGACGGCCTCACTGTGCTCCCTCAGACCCATCGTACCAGGCTCGCAACATCCCTGCTCAGAGGTCTGAGTCTCCACTTTCTGGAGACTCTCCTCCAAATTTCTAGATAATCTCAACCTCTTCTTTTTCCCCAGACCTAGGGGTGATACCTATGGCTTGAGGTTGCCATCTTTGTGTGTTACCTCATTGTTCCCTTTCTGCTTTTTTGAGTTTTCCAATACTGGCCTGGCTGATCCCTTATGTTCAATTCTCTTTGGGAGAATTCCTAGTGAGGCTCCTGTTTTCTAGACTGGACCCTGACTAATACAGGGAATATTTCACAGGGTCAGCACTTGACACAGAGGCATAGGAAGCAGAAAAGAAATGGATCTGCCAATTCACTAACTTGCTGTGCCTCTTTAGCAAAATTATTTCTCTTTCTCCAAACTTCTCATTAAGATTTGCTGAATAGTTACCAAAATTTGTATTCAGAATTAGCGAACATCTCAAAGGGTGCTTGTCTAGGGAGAAAAAAAAAATCAGTAAATCAATATTATTCTCCAATATTATATGAGTTATTGTTAGAGAGCATTAATGTATGTTTCTGTCAAAATAAGCTTTCTTTTGTTTAATTTCTTAAAATGAAATCTTTTAATACAAAATGATACATGCATGTATTTATTTATTTTTATCACATTCATATACTAGTTTGCTAGGGCTGCCATAACAAAGTACCACAGACTAAGTGGCTTAACTAACAGAAATGTATTTTCTTGCAGTTCCAGAAGCTGGAAGTCCAAGACCACGGTGTTGACAAGTTTGCTTTCTTCTAGGCCATGCTCTTTGGACTGCAGATGGCTGTCTTCTGGATCCTCACAAGGTTATCCCTCTGTTTCGTTTGTGTCCTAATTTCCTTTTCTTATAAGGACACCAGTCATATTGGATTAGGATCTACCCTAACAACTTTTCTTGGGTTTGAATTCTTGTTTCTTGGATCCTATGTCTTCCCCTTTTTGGTCTATGTCCTCCTTGTGATGTCAGTTTAACATTTCAGAGATTCACTAATTCAGCAAACATTTACTGAGCTTCCGTCAGGCCCTAGTGCTAGGCACTAGGGATAGGCAAGTGGGAGAAATAGACAATGTTGCTGCCTCCAGGCTGCAATGGCTCTGTGACAACACAATGGCCAATGTGACCTGAAATAGGAGCAGATGCCCAATTGCCTAGGAACAGAATAACTGCCCTCTTGACAAAAGTCATCGTGGAGAAAATAGAAAGGGACTAAAATGTATTGAGTTCTGCCATGTCTCAGCACATTTATGTACATTACCTCATTTCATACTCACAAGATTCTACGATTATACTACGATTTTACGAGGAGAAGGCGGAAGTGGAAGCTCTGAGGTTCAGAGCTCGTTTGTGTGACTTGCAGAGCCAAGTCTTCAACTGCAAAACTCTTCACAGCCATGTTATGCGATGCTGCAAAAATGAATGCATACAAACCCAGGAATTAAGGTTTAACTCCTCCTTAACCCAAAGAGCCATTCTGCTTATGCACACTAGTGATTTGTTTTATTCTGACCGTCCTTTTAGGTAAGGTCCTGATTCCCTAGGAATCCCTCACTTATTCATTTAATACTTGTTGAGCTGCTGAGATTCATGTGAGGCACTCTTCTAGGTGCTGGAGATAAACCAGTAAACCAAAAAAGTACTCCCCTCTTGGAGCTTAAACAAGTGGAGAGTGTCACAAAGTTAAAAAAAAAAAAAGTCAAGATAAATTCCATGGGGGAGGGAAAACAAAGGACAGTAAGGGGAATAGGAAGGGGGAGTACTAATTTTTTTTTTTTAAGATTTTATTTATTTAATTGAGAGAGAGAGCACAAGTGGGTCGAGGGGCAGAGGGAGAGGGAGAAGCAGGCTTCCCACCGACTGGAGAACCTGAGGGGAAGGGGCACAATCCCAGGATCCCAAGATCATGACCTGAGCTGAAGTCGGATGCTTAACAAACTGAGCCACCCAGGCGCCCCTACTAACTTTTTATTTATGGTCAGAGAAGGCATTTCTGGTATGGGGCTGTTTGCACAGAGACAGAAGGAAGGGAAGGAAGAAGCTATGTAGATATCTAGGCAGAGGGAACAGCAAGTGCTAAGGCCCCTGGATGGGAGCAAGGAGGCCACTATAGCTGGGACGAGTGAGTCAGGGAGGAACAATAAGAGACCAGCAGAGGCCACAGTGAGGACTTTCGTTTTTACTCCTAGCAAGGTGGGAAGACATTGGAGAGCTTTGAACGTGGCCCTCAAAAGACATTTTGGAAGTCTCGTAGGCTACCTCCTGCCCATATCTGGCTTCCTTTTTATAGCAAAACTCCCAAGAGTTATCTAAACTTTCTGTCTCCACTTTCTCACTTCATCCCTTTCAACCCTTGCCATTTGGGCCCTGGACCCCATCACTTCTCTGAACTAGTCCTTCTTAGGGCCATTAGTGACTACATCTTGCTAAAGCCCATGACCATGCTCAGTCTGCCAAATTCTCAGCCTTAGGGCAGCTAGTGACATACTCACATCACCTCCCCAGTGTTCCGTAACCCCAGACTCTAGCCTGGTTTTCTTCCTCCTTCACAGCTTTCTTCTCCACATGGGTCAATCCCCCGCATCCAGGAGCGATCTGGACCTCTGCTATACTCTCTCACTGGGTGTTGGATCCATGATTCTCAAATACCTTTGATATGCTGATGTTTTCTTCTGCAACCAGAACAAGTCCAAGTTCCTTATCGTGGCCTACACCACCACACCGGCTACTGGCCTTGGCTTCCACCTCCCTCCCCCTTCCCTGTCCCTCACCAGGGCTCCAGCTGAAACCGTGAGCTGGTTCCTGCTTCGGGATCTCTGCACGGGCTTTTCCTTGAGCCTCTCCTCTTCACCGGGCTTCCTTTCTCTCACCCTTCAGTTTTTAGCTCAAATGCCACCTCTGAAAAGCTTTTCCTGACCTCCCCGTGCAAAGTCTTCCCCTTCTCCCAACACTCTCTAGCACTTAATTTGAGAAATTATTGCGTGGATTCACTTGGTGTTTCCTGCGTCACCCCATCCCCAACACCTACACTAGAAAACTTCCCGAGAGCAGGGACCTCCTTTGTTTAGTCGAGCGCCAAAACACTGCCTCGGACGGACTAGATGCTGAAGAAGTAGGGGTTGGCTGGCAGAGCCCCCAAAGTTGCTCCCCAGGGTTCTCACGTGGTTCCTGTTTGCTGCTGGGAGAGATCTTGCCCTCAATTGCTCACTCCCATCCTCGGAGAGATGGGAGGTGGGGGGTAACAACGGCCCCTCCCCCCGTAGCCCCTCCTCCCTCCCCCCCAGCCAGCCTGTCGCCCGTCTGACCTGGGCGCGCGGTGCTTGTCGGGCATCGCGGCTGCGGGCGGTGATGAGACGGTTGGCCACAGAGGGAGCATGGCGCTCTTGGCCGTGCGCTTGGTGCTGTTGCTTCTGGCCGGGGACTTGGCGGGTAACGCTCACCGCTCACCGCTCACCGGGCCTGGTCGGCCAGGACAGGGTCGGGAGTGGCGCGGAGGAGTATCAGAGGGTGGGACTGGCCCCCTGGCTACCCACCTCCCCGCCCCGATCCCAGCCCCCTGGCGGCCCTCGGCGCACCCGTTATTGGCGGTTCCCGCGGCCTGCGGTCGTCTAGGGAGCGCTAACGTGCGGGGCGTGCAGGGCTGGGGGGTGGCGGTGGAGGCAGCGATGCTCTTTCATTCTTGCTTGGCCTTGGCTCTCGGCTCCTTCGTAGCGACACCCTGCTGTCTGCTCTTTCTCCCTTGAAGCAGATTTTCTGGAGCCCAAGATCAGAAGTTGGTTTTTTATGGACACAGTGGCCCTACCGAACCTCTGCAGGAGATGAACAGGAATAGGGCTTGTGAATGCCAAGCGCGTCAGGCACCCTGAGGCTTATGAGAAAGGGGCTTTAGTCCAGCCAGATTTGACGCCCACTCGAAAATGGAGTTAAAATGGTAGCACCTAACGTTAAGTTTTGCGTTTGTTACCCTGAGCCACAGAGGAGAATATCGTGAATTATTGAGTTCCTTCTCTTTTATTCCATAGCTCCGAAGTTCTTTCTCAAGCAAGCCTGCTAGGGTGGTCAATTACAGAACCTGGACCAAATGTTCCTTCTGTGTGTCTGCCAGGAGAGGTGCCAGAAAACAGTACCCTTCTTTGGGGGCGTGGGGCTGGGCAATGGGGGCTGATCAAAAAAGCTAGGCATCTGAGAGAACGGGAGAGGGTGTGGCTGGGATAAATCACAAGCTGGATTTTAAAAGCTCCTTATGAATAAGAATTGATCTTAATCATATACTTTCATGTCTGTTTTCTTCTTGTAGTCTCTTTGGACTCTTTGAGCTCTGACTTTGACCAGCCTTCAGAATACAGAACAGTAAGTAGGAAACCACCTGTATTGTTTCCACTAATATAGTGAAGTCCGGACGGTTTGGGTTGGGGCTGGTTTTCAGGTCTGGCCTCACTTCTTCTTTTTTGACCTGCCACTTTTGAAACTGTTGACTGTCTCTTCAGAAATCAGAGTCTAAGGCAGACCTTTTGATGCAGATCAAAATTGTAAATTTTGGTTGAAAATAGCTCAGTCCTTGAAGGCCTCAGCACTTTGTTTCCTTTAATAGTTTCTTTGATGATTCAAAAGGTCCTTGGTCTAATGGTTATGTCTTGTACTAGACATTTTATGAACATTATCTAGATAATAATGTTCACAGAGTGTCCTTACTGCAGCTTATCTTTCTGTCTGTACCTTCCACTGCTTTCCCATAGCTTGTGCTCTTCTATTCTTATGCTACTACCACACTGTTTTTTGTTTTATTATTTTATTATTTTTTAAGATTTATTCATTTTAAAGATTTTATTTACTTATTTGTCAGAGAGAGAGAGAGAGAGAAGGAAAGAAAGAGAGCAAGCATGCGAGCAGGGGAAGCGGCAGTCTGAGGGAGAAGCAGGCTCCCTGCTGAGCAAGGAGCTGGATGCGGGACTCAATCCCAGGACCCTGGGATCATGACCTGAACTGAAGGCAGACACTTAACCACTTAACCGACTGAGCCACCCAGGCATGCCTATTTGTTCATTTTAGAGAGAAAGAGAGGGCATGGTGCAGGGAGGGGCAGGTGGAGAGAGAGAGGGAAAGCAGACTCCCTGTTGAGTGGGGAGCTCAATGTGGGGCTCCATCTCACAACTCTGAGATCATGACTAAGCCGAAACCAAGAGTTGGATGCTCAAATGACTGAGCCATCCAAGCGCCCCTATTTTGTTTTGTTTTTATTTTAGTTCCAGAGTAGTTAACATACAGTGTTATATTAGTTTCAGATGTTAGTGCCACACTGTTTTAATTACTGTAGCTTTGTAGTAAGTTTCAAAATGAGAAAGTGTGAATCCTCCAACTTTTTCTTCAAGATTGTCTTGGCTTTTCAGGGTGACTTGCCTTTCCATATGAATTTAAAGATCAATTTGCCAATTTCTGCTGCAAAAAAGGCAGTTGGGATTTTTGCTAGGGATTGCATTGAACCTGTAGAACCATTTAGGGAGTATTGCTATCTTAAGAAAGTTAAATCTTTTGATCCATGAATATGGGTTGCCTTTTCACTTATTTAGGTCTTTAATTTCTTTCAACAATGTTTTAGTTTTTGGTGTTTAATTCTTATACTTCTTTTGTTAAATATATTCCTAAATATTTTATTCTTTTTAATGCTGTTACAAATGGATCTTTTTTCTTGATTTCATTTTCAGATGTTTTGCTGCAAGTGTATAGAAATGTAATTGATTTTTGTATATTGATCTTGTATCCTGCAGCCTTGTTGGACTTGTTTTTTGGTTGTAATAGTTCCTTTTGTATTCCTCAGACCTGTCTATATAAAGAGAAATTTTATATAAACCAGAAATAGTTTTATTTCTTCCTTTCCAATCTGTTGCCTTTTATTTATTTTATTGCCTAATTGTCTTTGCTAGAATATTCTATGCCATCTTGAACAAATGAATATGGACATCCTTGTCTTATTCCTAATTTGGAGGAAAAGCATTCAGTCTTTCACCATTAAGTATAATGTTAGCTGTGGGGGTTTTATAGATGTTCTTTATCAGGTTGAGGAAGTTCTCTTTTCTGCTCAGTTCGTTGAGTGTTTTTATTATGAAAGATTGTTGGAAGCTCCTTTAAATTAAACTGCTTTGCTCTCAGGTCAAACACTTCCCTCACCACTGTGCCTTTGGTTAGTCTGCTTTATTTCCTTGAGGTAGACATTCTCTCAAACCTCTAATCTAAATTCTATCTACCACCATGTATATTTCTTTTTTTTTAATTATTTTATTTTTTTCCATGTGTATTTTTGATTTTCTTACTATAAACTGAACTTTTGTAAAAAAAGATTTCATTTATTTGAGAGAGAGAAAGCACATGAGAGGGGGGAGGGTCAGAGGGAGAAGCAGACTCCCTGCTGAGCAGGGAGCCCAACGTGGGACTTGATCCCGGGACTCCAGGATCATGACCTGAACCGAAGGCAGTCGCTTAACCAACTGAGCCACCCAGGCACCCTATACACTGAAGTTCTTACAGGCAGGACTCAATTTGTCTTTGTACTTCTCTAACATCTATCTTAAAATCTTTTTCATTTATTGAATAAACAAATGAGGGAATATATCTGGTAAAGGATTTGAGAACCTTTCAAAAGAAAAGATTCAGAGTATAAAGCTCAGAGAATTACTTAGAAGCATATCACATCCTTCTACAAAAATTAAATTGATTCTAAGGAATAAGTAAAAATGTGATGTGACTGGGATGCCTGGGTGGCTCGGTTGGTTAAGCGTCTGCCTTCGGCTTAGGCCATGATCCTGACGTCCTGGGATCGAGTACCATATTGGGGTCGTTGCTCAGTGGGGAGCCTGCTTCTCCCTCTGCCTGCTGTTTCCCCTGCTTGTCTCTCTCTGACAAATAAATAAATAAATAAATACAAAATCTTAAAAAAAAAATGTGATGTGGCCCTCTTCCAGAATGAGAGTGTCTTCTAAAGCTCTGAGGAGTCTACCATGATTTTTATATATATATAAATACAATTTTTTATTATAAAACTAAGGTTAGTGGGGGCATAATTTATTAATGAAATTATTTGACCTCATTGATAACAGTGAAAAGTATTTGTTCATAAAGCCTCATGTCTCAGCTCAGAGTAAATCCAGGAAGTGAGTAACTTGAATTTAATAAAGTTAAATGGTGGATAGCCAAAGCTAGCTTTGAAATCATGAGAATTAGACTGGAAACAGCCTGGAATACCAACATTGTCTTCCAGCTGGGTAGATCCCTTGGGGATCTGAGAGACATCAAAGGTCTTCTGCTTAAACAACAAAACAAAACAAAACAAACAGAACTTCCTTATCAGCCTGTTAGTCCTCCTCAAAATCCATATATTAGTCATTCTTTGGGATGAAAGCATTTGAAAACTTCTGTTGAATATAAAAAACCTTAAGACCTGCAGGCTAAATAGATTGATTGTGATTAGTTGTTTATCTAGTCAGTCAGAGTGGGCATAGGCAAGATATGTTTTGGTTAAAAATGGGGAGGCAAGAAAGGTCTAGAGCCGGGGTCCCCTGAAATTGTGTGCCAAATTGTGTGTCTCAGTGTATTCTCCTTAGGTTCCATACATAGTCTAAGTGGACTGGACGTCAAGATGTTTGGGAACAGCAGTTCCTAAGCCCAGTCCTCGCCGAATCAGAATTCAGGGGCCTCTAGACACATGGATTCTAACCCTGGAGATTCTAATTGAGTAGGTCTGGCATGAGGCCCCAAATCAGTGTTTTCTTGTTTTGTTTTAAGTTTTTTAAAAGTTTTTATTTAAATTCCAGTTAGTTAACCTACAGTGTAATATTCCTTTCAGGTGTACAATACAGTGATTCAGCACTTCCATACATCACCTGGTGCTCATCACAACAAATGCTCTCCTTAATCCCCATCACCTATTTCTCCCATTCCGCCCCACCACACACCTCCCCTCTGGTGACCATCAGATTGTTCTCTATAGTTGAGTCTGTTTCTTGGTTTGCCTCCCTCTCAGTTTTGTTTTCCCTTTGCTTGTTTGTTTTGTTTCTTAATTTCCACATATGAGTGAAATCATATGGTATTTGTCTTTCTCTGACTTCTTTTGCTTAGCTCTCTAGCTCCATCCTTGTCATTGCAAATGGCACTAAATCAGTGTTTTTATCAAGCTTCTGAGGTGACGTGCACAGGTAGCCCTCTGTGGGTCCACCGGGCCTAGTTGTTAACACTAAACGTTCACTGAACACCGTCCACTTAAGCAACTCACAGATGACCCTGTCCTTTCTCTCTGAACAATCCCCACAGCATAATGATCCCTTACTGGCTATGGATAGCCTACTCTCTTGTATGCCAGTAGACTTCTTCCCATCGGTGTAGTTATATTCCTACCAAGACCTAAGTGTGTGAGTTCACAAGCCTGTTATGGCAGTTACCAGCCTTATTTTAACCAAAAATGTAAGGACAACATAAACATGAGTGTAAAGAAATAAAGTCATAGTTTATATGAAGACTGAATTGAATGCTTTTGAAAGACTTGCAAAAAGACAAATTGCTAAAAAAAATTGCTGTTGACTTAGGTGTAGGTGAAACAACTATAAATAATTGGGGCAAGATTAAAAAAATTGTATATTATGTTGTTTTAAATTCTCACTGTATTTAAGATTTTATTTTTAAATAATTTCTACACCCAGCGTGGGGCTCGAATCTACAACTCCAAGATCAAGAGTCACATGCTTTACTGACGGAGACAGCCAGGTGTCCCTTAAATTTTCACTGTATTTTAAAATAGCGATTCTCAGCAGTGGGCAGTTTTGCCCTCTAGCAGACATTTATTTTTGATTCTCATGAGTGGGGAGATGACACTGGCATCTAGTAGGTAGAGAACATCCTACAACACACAGGATAACCTCCCACCCAAAGAATTATCTGGTCCAGAATGTGAATTATGGTTGAGAAATCCTGTTTTAAAGAAACCAAAACAGGAAATCATGGACTTATTATGTGTGGACTTATTATGGGTATCATTTTTGTAGTGATAGCACAAAGAACTCTTAATTACGGTTGACCCTTGAATAATGTGGGGTTAGGGAGTACTGATCCCCCTCCCATAGTCAAAAATCAAAAATCTGAGTGTAACTTTTGATTCTAAAATTTAACTGCTCATAGCCTACTGTTCACCAGAAGCCTTACTGATAACATAAAGAGTTGATTAGATGCACCTGGGTGGCTCAGTTGGTTAATCATCTGATTCTTGATTTCGGCTCAGGTCATGATCTCAGGGTCATGAGATCAAGTCCCGAATTGGGCTCTGACCTGGGTGTGGAGTCTGCTTAAGATTCTCTCTCTCCCTCTGCCCCTCCTGCACTCCTCCCTCTCTCTCCTTCTCCACAAAAAAATTAAAAAAAAGAGTTGATTAATACACATTTTCTGTTGTGTTACATTCTTATCTGTATTCTTATAAGTTAAAGAAAAAAAATGTTATTAAGAAAATCATAAGGAAGAGAAAATACATTTAAACCCATGTTGTTCAAGGGTCAGCTGCAGTTGAAACATTCAAAGGAGAGGTCCTGTCTCTTGTATCAGTTAGGATTAGATTTGGCTGCAAGTAACAAAGACTTAAAATAGGAGCGCATGGTGCTGCCATCCTACAATGTGGCCTGTGAGAGCAGCCCTACAAGTCATCATCTTGCTGAGCCCTGGGGAGCACATCAGGCTCCAAAATGAGGGCTGAATGGAGGATGGAAAGGGTCAACAAAACCTCTTGTACTTTAGAGGTTGGCCCTTGGCCAGCACTGTTTAAGGTCTTTATAAATCCAGATAATATCAATAGAAACATGTATTGCATTTATTCAGTGCTAAAACAGGGTGACTCTTTTATTCTGAAGTGAGGAAAAGTGATCACCATTTACTAAAACAAGTATATATATATATAAATGTGAGTATATAAAACAGAAAGGTAGCGGGCCATATATTTGACCTTTGTTAAAGTGAGACTCTGCACACCATAGTCTGATCACTGTGACCACGTCTAGTCTTGGCCCTGCTGGAGATGAGCAGCTATGAGCAAGATATATTATCTGTCTGGCCTCAAATCCATCTAATCACAGGATTGAGTGCCATGATCCCCATCAATTTCTTGGGGCTGCTATCATAAAGCACCACAAACTGAGGGGCTTAAACAGCAGAGATTGATTGTCCCCTGGTTCTGGAGGCTAATAGTCCTACATCAAAGTGTTGGTAGAATTGGTTCCTCCTGAGGGCCGGGGCGGGGGGCGGCGGGCGGCAGCGGGGAGAATCTGTTCCATGCCTTTCTCCTAGGTTCTGGTAGTCCCAAGGGTTCCTTGGCTTGTAAATGACATTCTCTGTGCCTTCACGTGATCTTCCCTCTGTTTGTGACTCTATGTCCAAATTTTCTCTTTTTATAAGGACACCAGTCATTGGATTAGGGTCCATTCTACTGAGCTCATTTTAACTCGATTCCTTATATAAAGACCCTATGTCCAATAAGGTCACTTTCTGAGGTACTGGTGGTTATGACTTTAACATCACTTTTTGAGTGGGTACAATTCAACCCATAACAACCCCTAAGGAATGTCCAGTTATGAACCTGTTGCTTTCTTTGGGTGCTGTTGGTTACATGCCAGTATCTTAAAGGTCCAGAATAAAAGATTAGATTCCTGAGTTTGTTTTGATGTTATGTCAAGGGACTAAGGTGGAATGTAACAACATTAATGTGGAGATAGTAGTAGAGTGCAAATTACAAAGCTGGAGGATTGGAAAGTGGGTATGGTGGCCTGTCTTGGGCTTTCATTTAAAAATCAGCCAGACTGGGGCACTTGGGTGGCTCAGTCAGTTGGGCGTCTGACTTTTGATTTTGGCTCAGGTCATGATCTCAGGGTCGTGAGATCGAGTCCTGCATCGGGCACTGCTCTGGGTGTGGAGTCTGCTTGAGATTTTCTCTCTCTCTCCCTCTCCCCCTCCTATCTCCTCTCCCTTTCTAAACAAATAAAATAAAATAAAAAATAATAAATAAAAATCAGCCAGACTGAGGTCCTTTTCTTACATAGTACGTATTAAATCATTGCTTCAATGTTGCATCTGGTTTTTGCATTAGAAAAATCATTTTGTGTGTGGACAATTGAAATATTTTTGTAGGATGTTTCTAGGAAATCCAGGAGACTTGGGACTTTGTCTTCCCCTCAGCTATTTAGTGATGAGAATGTCTTAGTTCTGTAATTTCTGTCCTCCTTTCTCTTTTCTAGCCAAACTGCAGTCAGTATAAATTACCAGGATGTCCCAGAGACTTTAACCCCGTGTGTGGAAGCGACATGTCCACTTATCCCAACGAGTGTACTCTGTGTATGAAAATCAGGTAAAATCATAATTTTATGGTATAGATTAGTCAAGTTTTCTTTAGTCCTTTTCTTGATTTTTGATTACTTAGGAAGTAGCATCTCTTTTCTTGGATGTCAGAATCAAATGTGACATTATCTGTTTTCAGACTGACATTTAGAAAGACAGACTCCATCAGTGCATTTTCCAGGTCAAAGTTAGAGAATGGCATTTGTGATTAACCAACTATAGACCAGATAATCAGGTTATGTTACTATCCATGGATGGGCAGTTTCCCCAAATTAAGAGTATATCTAATAGTTAAACTCTGTGAAATAGCTAATAGTCTTTTATTTATTTATTTATCTATATTTTTTTATTAAAAAAATTTTTTTTAAGTAGGCTCCATACCCAGTTTGGGGTTTGAACTCACCACTCTGAGATCAAGAGTTGTATGTTCCACCGACTGAGGCTGCCAGGTGCCCCTCGAATATTCTTTTAAATTCAGAGGGCATGTGCAGATAACCTGTACAGCCTTCATTACAAGTTGGGACATAGTCTTAATAATTCTGCCTAGGAGAATACTAAGTAGTATGTGTTACACCTGATGCCCTTCATGTCACTCACAGGGAAAAAATGGCAGCGTTGAGGCTTTCATATTCACTGTTTACCAGATTTAGCTCTAAAAATGATTAAGTCAGCATCCCCTTAGAAGGAATCTAATGTGTAATGACATGGGTCTTTTTGATACAAAGAGCGGGACAGTTTCAGTATGGTGGGTAAGAAGTGTGTCTTTATGGTTGTTCAATTTGCAGGGAAGATGGTCATGATATTAAAATAATCCGGAGTGGACTGTGTTGATGGAGTGGTTTATAGAAGAGAACTCGGAGAAACCACCTTCAGCAGTATGCTGGATGAATTCCATTTCCCCTTTTCTCTTTCTTATGTTCCTTTGCATGGGATTTGTTAGCCCACATTTTCTGAGAGGAGGTGTGGAAGAGAGCTATGTGCAGTGACTGATAATTAAAACAAACACAAAAAAATCCTGTTTCTTGGCTTTTGCCCCTTGAGTTAAGCTTATTACCCAGGTGCCTTGTGCATTGCTTTATTTAGCTGGAATAAAATCAGCATTGTCTTCAAGTAGTGCTGTTCTCTGTTGAATACCTGTTCTTACTCAGCAGGCTCCTGGTGGCTCTTCTCTCAGGCAAAGGTGAATTTCATAATGGCGAAGTGGAGTCATTATTGAGAGGGCAAGATTTATTCTCCTTCCCCTTTCCTGCACATCTTTCATAGTTAATGTATAGGTACCTGGGACAGTGTTCTGCACAGGGCACACACCCGTGAGATACTTGGAGCATGAGATTGTAATGCGAGCTGGTAAAGTCACAGAATCAGGTGGGTAGAAATATTTCCTAGATTCAGTGTTTTCTTTCAATAGTTTCCCATCAGGGTTAATGCAGGTTCTTGGCTTTTTCCTCCTTTTAGAACAGGGTTCTCAACTCCGGGGCAATTTCCCCCCCCCAGGGGATATCTGGCACTGTGTCTGGAGGCATTTCTGATGTCACAGTTGAAGGGTGGGCACCACTGACATCTAGTGGGTAGATGCCAGAGAGATGTTGCCAACATCCTACAGCACCCAGGACAGCTCCCAACAACAAAGAATTTTTCAGTCCAAAATATCAGTAGTACTGAGGTTGCAACATCCTGTTTTCGAGTTTGATACAACATAAGAATAAATGTTAGCAGTGATAGGGTGCCTGGGTGGCTCAGTCGTTGGGCGTCTGCCTTCGGCTCAGGTCATGATCCCGGGTTCCTGGGATCGAGCCCCACATCGGGGCTTCTCCCTCATCCAATGCCCCTGCTTGTGTTCCCTCTCTCGCTGTGTCTCTTTGTCAAATAAATGAATAAAATTACAAAAAATAAAACAAAACAAAACGTTAGCAGTGATAAAGGTGACGGGGGATTACTTTAGAATGATGTTTCCAGGTGGAGGATTTTGGTCAAGTCCTGGCTTGTAAGTGCTAGCTTCTAGCATGAGCCACGAGGCAAGAGGTGGCTGAGAAAGTGTGTAGTGGAAAGAATATGGCTTTGGGATCAGCTAAACCTGAGTTCGAATTCTGATTCCAACACTTGTGCTTTGGTTTTCATATATGGAAAATGGGGTAATGCTCAACTCAGGGAGCTGTTGAGAGGAAACTATGTAGCACAGTGCTTGGACGTAGAAACCACTGAAATAGTAGCTGCTGTTATTTCCAATATCCCTCTTAGAAAGAAACTGAGTCCCACAGAGGCAAACCACCTTGCCCAAGGTTATAGAACACAGTAAAAGTCTGGACTAGAAGCCTGGGTCTCCAAATTCCCAGTCCTCTGTTTCTTAGATGGAACAGAAGCAATAAAGTGGAAAGTTGTATAACATACATGGGCTACAATTCATGTTCTGTAGTTATTTTTGGCTTAAAATTTTCATTTTGTAAAAGTAGTATATGCTCTTTAGAAAATTAAGAAATGCACAAGTATATTTAAAAAGTGAAAGTCATGCCCATACAAGCCTCCAGAGATAACCAGTATTAACCTTTTGGAACATTGTGTCCTTTTCACTCTCCCTAAGTATGTGTGTGTATATCAAATCATATAGACACACAGAAACACAGACACACACACACGTATACACACATATTCCTGTCCTATAAACTCGCTTTTCTCCTTATATTAGATTTTTTAAATGTTAATATAGATTGTTCTTTTCAAAAGCTACATAGTATTTTATTATTGTGCCATAAGTTTTCCAGCCTCTATTGATCTAGATCGGGTTGTTTATTAGGATTCTCTTGGTTGAAGCTGGAAGAATCCCAGCTCAAACAGCCTTAGGCTAAAGAGGGAGTTAATTGGCCCATGTAGTCTTATTTGCAGAAGAGCAGGGGCAGTGTTAGCGTCAGAGGCTAGATTTATTATTTACTTGCCTCAGAGGCAACTGGGGACTCTAATGCATCATGAGTCCCCATGTCCTCATGTCTCATCTCTGGGTTTTTTGTTTTGTTTTATTTTCTTTTTTGTAATTTTTAAAAAGATTTATTTATTTATTAGAGAGAGAGAGAGAGAGAGAGAGAGACAGAGACAGAGCTTAAGCGAGGTGGAGGGGTAGAGGGAGAGGGAGAAACAGACTCCCCGCTGAGCAAGGAGCCCGATGCAGGACTCGATCCCAGAACCCTGGGACCATGACCTGAGCCCAAGGCAGACCCTCAGCTGACTGAGCCACCCAGGCACCCCTCATCTCTGTTTATTTTGGCATAAACAGCTTCATTCTTAGGCTGGCTTCACCTCCTGTGTAAGAGACAAAATTGGAAGTTCCAGATTCTATCTTGGCAACTTCCTGACCTGACAGGAAATAATGCTTTTCTACCAGCTCCAGGTGAAAAAAATCTTCTAGAGTCACAGCCCCAACACTAGTACTACCTGAAAAGAAAATGACCGTCCTGGACAAAGACCTGATTGGTTCATGTTAGATTATACATCCACGCTTCAGGCCGGTTGTTGTGGTCACAGGAAGTAAGGTGGTGTAGGATTGGTTCAGCTGACATGGGACATTGGGTGCATTGTGTCTGGAGGGAAGAAAGGGGACAATCCAAGAGGAAAAAAATCAACAGCTGTTAACTATAGGTTGTTTACAACTTCTAATTATTATAAAACTGTTTCAGAGAACGTTGTACATACATCCTTGTCACTTGAAAAAAATATATATTTACACATACACAAGATGAAAATAGCTCTAAACAAATTTTTTTTTTAAGATTTTATTTATTTATTTGAGAGAGAGAGAGTGAGAGATAGAGAACACGAGAGGGAAGAGGGTCAGAGGGAGAAGCAGACTCCCTGCTGAGCAGGGAGCCCGATGCGGGACTCGATCCCAGGACTCCAGGATCATGACCTGAGCCGAAGGCAGTCGCTTAACCAACTGAGCCACCCAGGCGCCCTAAAAATTTTTTCTGAGAGAAATTTATGCTCGTGTAGTACACATTAATCATTTGGTGTACCCAGCACCTCTCCCTTTTGCCCTAAAGAAACATTATTCTGTCTTCCCCTCTCCTTTTCCACTCCACTCCCAACTTCTGGCTGAATAGAGCTGCCGCCTCCTTACCTGTTCCCATATCCCCGACTCTGGAGGTAAGCTGAAGGCTGAGCACCTGGTCCAAATGTGACCAGTCACGATCAGTCATAATTCCCACTACCCTGCTCACAGGGTTGGTCTGCAGTGGGTTTGTGACCATTCAGAGTCCATCCTTGGAGAAGAGCCTGTTGCCTTCTCGGTGGTGAGATTGAGAGGCTGTGCCCGGGGAAGCTGCCGGAAGTCGTGACCCCTCACCATGGAGAAAGACTATAGTAGGAGGGCATGAGGCCAACGTGCCTAGGGAAGCGGAGACAAAAGACCCAGAGGCTCTTGGTGAAAGTTGATATTCTGGTTCTAGGGCTGAGGGCTCCCGTTGCCCGCCTTGCCATGGCTTAGGCTTAGTTGGCCAGCTTTTCCTTGGATTTTGCGAGCTGGCCCACATTCAATATTCCCTCCCTACACACTTTTTTTTTTTTCTTATAGCAGTTTGAGTGGGGTTGTCATCACATAAACTCTTCTAATAAATTCAAGCATTTTGGAAGCGTGTAAAGTAAAAGGGTCTCTCTGTTTTAGTCTCATTCTCCTGTCCACTCTTACTACAATGAAATGGAAGGCTTTTATAGTCAGAAAGAATTAATAATAATGATGTTTCTTTTTTTTTTTTAATTTTTTTTATTTATTTATTTGACAGAGAGAGACACAGCGAGAGCAGGAACACAAGCAGGGGGAGTGGGGGAGGGAGAAGCAGGCTTCCTGCGGAGCAGGGAGCCTGATGTGGGACTCGATCCCAGGACCCTGGGATCATGACCTGAGCCGAAGGCAGACGCTCAACGACTGAGCCACCCAGGCGCCCAATAATAATGATATTTCAAAAGAGATTCACAAGTGTAAATATGTATTAAAAGAATTTTGCTTTAGTATTGTTTTTATGACATTTAACTGTTAATACTTCCAACCTTTTTTGTATAAACTTTTGTCTATTATCTTAAAACATATATATACTTATATATATCTTCTATGAACTTGCTTTTCTTTCTAATATTAGGTTTATTTTTATATTAATATATGTAGTTTCTTTTTATTTTTTTTTAAGATTTTATTTATCTATTGAGAGAGCAAGAGAGTGAGCACGAGTGGTAGAGAGGGAGGAGAGGGAGAAGCAGACTCCCTGCTGAGCAGGGAGCCTGATGTGGGGCTCGATCTCAGGACCCCGAGACCCAAGATATGACCTGAGTTGAAGGCAGACGCTCAACCAACTGAGCCATGCAGGTGCCCCGTAGTTTCTTTTTTTTAAAAGCTACATAGTATTCCATTATATCATTGTGCTATTATTTATCTAGTCTCTATTGAGCTATATTTGGATTGTTTATTAGGATTTTCTTGGTCGAAAGTGGAAAACCCCCAACTTAAACAAGTCTAATTAAAGGGAGAAGTGATACCTGGATATAGTAGTGACTAAGCACATGTGCTCAAAGTCACATGTCTGTTCTAGAATAAGTTCTGGAAACCAAGATTCTGATGTCTACTGTAGACTATAAATTCCACAAGATCTGAGTTCATATTTGCTATGTTCTCCACTATAGTCCCAGTCTGGCACACAGTAGGTGTTTAAAGAGTGCTGTGGACTCACTAGCTAAAGTCAGTTCTGTTCTGTTGGCTTCTGCATTCCATAGCCAGATTTAGGATGGCAAGAGTATTTTGAAGAGGAGAACCTGAAAGACAGCAAAGCAGGTTGAACAGTTTGACATTAATCATTCTCATTCAACTTCAGGGACAAGCCACTTTCTCACTAGGGGCTGGAGGCAAGCTCTCCCAGGTGGTGAGCCTTGAAATAAGGGGATCTGCATCCTTGCTTACTGGAATATTTCCTGAATAATACTTATTTTTAAGAAATCACTTTGTTTTGGGGCACCTGGGTGGCTCAGTTGGTTAAGCGACTGTCTTCAGCTCAGGTCATGATCTCAGGGTCCTGGGATCCAGCCCCACATAGGGTTCCCTGCTCAGCGGGGAGCCTGCTTCTCCCTCTCCCTCTGCC